AAGTGTACTGCCAGCCTTTCATGTCGACTGTATCCTGCTTTTTCAGCTGCTGCCTGTATTGTCAGCTTTTTATCGCCACTGTAGCAATGCTTATGTCATTGAGTCGGCGTACTGCCAGTCTATCTATATATATAAAATCGTGAATGTCTGTCTGTCTGTCTGTGTGTGTGTGTGTGTCGCCGGACCATACGCACTTTCATTGGACGCCGGTTGCCCCTGCCAACGGCTAGCGACGCCTTCGCCGCTTTCATTGGACCTGGCAACGGCTAGCGATGCCTTCGCCAAGGGCTGCACTTTCATTGGACGGCGGTTGCCCCTGCCAATGGCTAGCCACGCCTTCGCCACTTTCATAGGCTCCGTAATTAATTAAATAACAGCCATTACACAGTATTGTTGGAGCGCTGAGGGGGGGGGGAAGGAACGCCACCCGTACCCTGCCTCTGCCGGGTGCCCAATTTTGGCGAGGCCGCAGGTTCTGCACGCTACTAGGCCTCGACACCCACCACGCCACTCTGAGGTAAATTCATCAAAGTTTTTCGTACTCTTCACTCCACCCCCACCACAATGTGTGCAATTAATATTACTTTTAAACCCAACGCGCCAACAATCGATTACTTAAATGTTCACTGTACAAATAGTCATTAAGCTGGGTCAGCGTACTGCCAGTCTATCATGTAGACTGTAGCCTGCTTATTAAGCTCGGTGAGCGTACTGCCACTATCATGTACACTCTAGCCTGCTTATGAAGCTGAGTGCGTGTACTGGCAGTCTATAATGTGGACTGTTGCCTGCTTATTATAATCGATTCTTTATATGTTCTTTGTACAAATAGTCATTAAGCTGGTTGACCGCCCCCAGTTCCATTCCAACTCACGCCCACCACCGCTGACGATTATTTGAAACGGACCTGGGCCTCCCCTAGGTCGACTCAGCCTCAAACGCGTAACTGCTGTCGTGTGTGAACATCGTCACTGGGGAGACAAAGGCGGCCAGGCATCGCCGATCCAAGTCCCGGGCGAAGCCGGGTCATGTCTATGTGTTTATGTGTATGTCTGTGTGTCTGTATGTATGTGTGTATGTATGTGTGTGTATGTGTTTGTGTGTATGTATGTGGGTTTTTTTGTATGTCTTTATGTGTATGTCTGCGTGTCTGTATGTATGTGTGTATGTACGTGTGTGCATGTGTTTGTGTGTATGTATGTGTGTGTCTATGTATGTGTGTGTATGTGTTTCTGTGTATGTATGTGTGTGTATGTATGTGTGTTATGTGTCTGTCTGTGTGTCTGCATGTATGTGTGTGTGTATTGTGTATGTGTTTGTATGTGTTTGTGTGTTTACGCTCGCATTACACAAATGTGTTGCAGGTCTAAGGCGTTCCTTGCGCAGCATTGCCGCTTTATTATTTCAGTCGTTTACTGCCGTACGCACCCTGAAAGTCGTGTGTGTCTGCAGCAAGCGCGTGTATGTGTACCTATGGACGCGCGCGCGTGTGTTGTGTAGGGGGAACGGTAGTGTAGTGCTTAGCGTGCTGCCTGTGTCTGTGTGTGTGTGTCTGTGTGTGTGTCTGTGTGTGTGCGTGTGTGGTGTGTGGGGAGCGGTAGTGTAGTGCTTAGCGTGCTGTCTGTCTGTGTGTGTGTCTGTCTGTGTGTGTCTGCGTGTGTCTGTGTGTGTGTCTGTGTGTGTCTGTGCGTGTGTGGTGTGTGAGGATCGGTGGGTGTAGTGCTTAACGCTACGCTGCGCTACCAACCCGGCGAACCCAGTTCGATTCCCGCTCACGGCCACCACCGGTGACCATTATTTTAACCTCCCCTAGGTCGACTCTGCCTCAAACGAGTAACTGCTGTGGCGTATTAACATCGCCACTGGGGAGACAAAGGCGGCCGGCCGTGGTGGATACAAGTCCCGGGCGAAGCCGGGTAGTACAGCTAGTAATCTATACTATAGCCTGCTTCTCAACGTACCTGTGCGTACTGCTGCTATTTAATATACACTTATTTCAGATTATTTCTACTATGCATTTCTATTGTTTCGATTGCTCACGTCCTGCAATTTACTTATACGTAGTACTGCGATGCTGATAGCTGTGCCATCATCGGGGATTGCTGTGCACGTCGATGTGTGTGTGAGAGTCGATGTGTGTGTTTCAGTCCATATGTGTGTGCGTGTTAGTCGATGTGTGTGCATGGCTCCATGTCAGTGTGTAAGTCAATGTGCGTTTGTGTGTCTGTGTGTCAGTCAGTGTGTGTGTATGTCCATGTGTATGTATGTGTCAGTCCATATGTGTGTGTGTTAGTCTACATGTGTGTATAAGTCCATACATGTGTGTGTGTCATTCGATGTGTGTAAGTCAATGCATGTGTGTGACTTGATATGTGTGTGTTACTCCATGCGTCCTTATTTAAAGTATATGTCTGTGTATGAGAGTCCATGTGTGTGTACGCCAATGTGTGTCAGTCTATGTATGTGTGTGTGAGTCTATGTGTGTGTGTGAGAGTTGCTGTGTGTACGTCGATATGTGTGTGTGTGACACCATGTGTGTATATATCTCAAGTGTATGTGTCAGTCCATGTGCATGTGTGTTAGTCGCTGTGTGTGGGTGGCTCCATGTAAGTTAGTGTAAGTCCATTTCTTTGCGTGTCTGTTGGTCCTTGTGTGCGTCTTAGTCCATGTGTGTGCTTTATTGACCTGGTCAAGGCCTATGATACCATCAGTAGGCCTAGCCTCTGGGTTGTTCTTCGTGCTTTCGGAGTCCTTGACCCTCTGCTCACGATCCTTAAGGACCTTCATGATGGTGAGCGGCCCCGTGTCAAACTACGTGGCCGTGAGTCAGAGACATTCCCTTTACACCTTCGGGTGCAACAGGGATGTCTGGCTCCCGCATTATTTTACATATATTTTTACCACGTCCTTCAGAGGAATTACCATCTGCTACAGATACAATGAGAGGCTGATCGATGCCCGGGTGCAGTCAAGGGATGGCTCCCTATTGCTCAACCACGTTATGTATGCCAATTATCTGCTAATTGCTGCTCACTCGGAGGAGTTCGAGGTGCTGCTGCTGAACCTGGAGCTTGCCACCAACAGGTGGGGCCTTACCATCAGCCCCACCAAAACTAAGCACCTGCCTGGCTATTTTATACCATCGGACATTTCACTCCCACAACTCCCAATTGGTGATGGGGCTGTTGTGGAGACAGTGGAGAGTTTCCCATACCTTGCCAGTGTGCTAATGACCGGCTCCGGTTTAACAGCAAAGGTCTTACTCCAAATAAGTCGAGCTGCATTATCTTTGCATTGGCTGCGTAACGCTGTGTGGAAGCTACCTGCTCTATCACTCTGTACGAAGCTTCAGGTCTTCTCGGCCACCACGGTCATTCCCTCCAAACTCTATACTTGCGAAACTTGGACCCCCCTAATGGAACATCTTCGCCGGTTAGAAACATTTAGGATGGCCTGCCTACGATCCATCCTGGGTTTAACCTGGCTGCATTGTGTGAGGAGCTCACAAATCCTTGAAAGATGTGGACCAAGTCCCATCGGTGACCTCCGGCAGGCAAGGCTGCGTTGCTTGAGTCATGTAGCCCGCATGGCCAGCCACCACATGCCTAAACAGCTTTTGTTCGGCATGATCCAGGGGGCTGGAGAAGACATGGAGTTATGTGGTACAGGAGGATTTGTAGCTGAGTCCACTTGCGGATGACTGCTACCAGCTGTGTCAAGATCCGCCTCTGTGGAGGAGGCTCCTGAAGGACGCTACTGGGCAGTTGGGAGGCAGTCACCCTCCAACAACAACGGAGGGCGGAGGAGCGACGCTCACAACAATGAGCGGAGCGCCGCGTGGCTAAAGCACAGAAAGTTGCCACAGTAGGGGCCACAGGTGGTGCATCAGCCAGTCGTCTCAGTCAGTCGACCTGTGCCATCTGGGTTTGCTCCGTGACCTCCTGCCAGCAGGCATTCGACACTTCACGTGGCCTCAAGGTGCACATAGCCTGGCACAAGCGTTGTCGTGACGTCACCGCCACTTAGTGGCGAATGGCGGTTGTTGTTGTTCAGTCTATGTATGTATGTATGTGTGAGTCCATTTGTGCGTGTAACTCTATGTGTGCGTGTTAGTCGATTTGCGTGTGTAACTACATGTGTGGCTGCCTTTTTTGCCCGGGCAACGCCGGGTACTAACCGCTAGTAGGCGAATAAATTGTAAGCAGGTGACTTGTTACGTGTCATAATTTTTGAAGACACTACATTAGTATCCCAAGGTGCATGCTATGGAGCTTGCGTGTCTCACGCTCCTGGATACAGGTTCTACCCAACACGTATGGTCAAATATACTGGCTGCTCCTACTCTCCATTATAAAAAAAAAATTACCCAAACCTCCAAATCCCAAAACAATCTGATTTGTCCCGAGCTCCCTCAGTCAAACCTCTCCTCCCGCTTTCAGCTGCCTTCATTGACGACCTGGAGGTCAAAGCCTGGAGTCTTCATGCCACCTTTCCTTCTGGCCCTTTATCCAAGCTAGAAATTTCTTATGGTTCTTGCATTACAAGGGATGGGATTATTTTGGCACTTTGAATTTCACATCTCGAATGCAGACTCTGCTCCTTATGGATCTCATTATCCGCGTTTCGGTTTCAAAACACTTCAAATGCCTTCAAACACAGTGTACTTGACAGGGTTTCTTAATGCGTTTTCCGGCGGTTGTCAAGATTTGATGACCGTGTAAACGTCTTACCACATGCAGTGCAAGTGAGGGGCTTCTCTTCTGTGTGTGTTCTCTGGTTTCGGTCAAGATTTGATAATCGTGCAAATGAATTATAAAACTCAGTGCACCGTCGTCACCCCCCCCCCCCCCCCCCCCCGTCGACGGGGTGAGTTGTGCTCTTGGTGAGGTCACAATCCAGAGAAAGGGGGGCGCTGACATAACCTACTTGTGACTTTGAGGTGACGTCTCCAGAGGGGGGTTTTACATAAACGTGGTAAAGCAATGTGTGAAATCGATGTAGTGATTTAATAACGTTTTATTTAAGCAAATGGGATCTTAAAATTTCCTCCTTGCTATGAAACAGATCAGCAGACACGACATCTATTTCATTCATCAGTCTCTCCACGAAACAAAAGAATGTTTTACACAAACTATAAATACCACCAGCTTCTGGGAGTGCATCATTGATTCAGCGAAAGCCAACTGTGGACCGGTTTTGGTGTAGTGTCTCAACAGCATTCGGGCTTGCTTCAACAGATAGTTACGAATATGCAGATGTTAATCAGCAAGGATCATTTTTAGTCCTAATTCGACAAAATCTATATAAAGAAAATTATAATTCGTGTTGTAGGGAATGTATCTCCTATCCATAACTTGTAAGTGGTATGCCTTGTAACTGATGAATGATGCAAATGATCCTTATTTCGAAGACAATGACTTGCTGCAGAGGCAGAGGCTTCCTGAATCACGAAAAATATCCTTGGACTTGTATCACAAGAACAACAGCTCTCACGTGAGTCATATGTGCAGGTTACTACCAAGCACCCACTTTTTCACGTATTCCATGTTTGACCCTTAGACAAAATGTTACCTGTATGCACAAAATCAGACAAGTATTCATTAAATTATAATTCTAAATTATCGATAGGCATATTAAAAAAATATAATTAATGCACTGACATGTACTTCATGTTATATCGTATGTACAAGAAGTTGATCTCTGTCTGGATGAGGCCTACACCTGCAGCACTCAGTTTGATGGAATCTAAGTGGTAGTGCATTCTATGTTTGATGCAGAGGTTCAAGGTTCAAGTCCGACAGGCATCCCTGGTTAGTCCAGGAACGTTCATTACAACTATGCACAAATGCTTAACAGTGAAAGTAAAACGTACTATTGTGTCATTGAAAACGAGGCCATTGCATGCTGACGTCGTGGTTAAAGTTTGTCAAATTCGAAACATTACCCACAAATTACACAACTGAGATTACACATCAGTTATTGCCCCCTACTGACAGACTCATGCCCACATGCAGGCTGATGCAGGGCCACCTTATGCCACACAGGGGCAGCTCCCACTTTGGGGTGCTTATCGAATGTTTTTGATTAGATATGATACAAAACTCCGAGTTGCTGAGGCAATTAAGCAAGCACCATATATATGCAATTATGCTGGTAGGAACCTCCTGGTTACACTAGCCCACAGGGGATTATTGTGTCCGTCGTGCAGGGAGGGGCTGGGTGGGGAGGGAGGGGCTGGGTGGGGAGGGGAGGGTAGTGAATGCTTGGGAGCTTATTGGCTCTGGCTCCTGGTTAGAGATCTACCCAACCCACAGGTCCACAAATACTTGCCGTTCTTACTCTGCAGGTTGAACCTAGGAATTGAGTGTTCAACTTCACATTCTTTCATTAAAGGCCTGTGACAAAGGTCAATCTATCGGAGCTTCAGTGTCCCAAGCTTACACATCTCCCGGATCTCCACTTGACTTTGTATTGTCAAAGTCCATCCACACCTCCACTTCCACAAACTGCAGGGAGTTGCCTCGCTCTGCCTCACAGTCTGAATTTTCCTCCTGCTTTACGTTGCCTCCATCGATGTGAAGGTCCGATTCACTCTTCACTTTCACTTTTTCACATTTCACCTTCGCCTCTTCATATTTCACATTCACCTCTTCATATTTCACCTTGATACCTTTCAAATTGTCCAAGCTGGGATTTTCATGTGGTTCTTGTTTTATGAGGGATGGGCTCATTGCAGCACTTTGACTTTCACAAGCCGATTTGAGACTCCGCTCCTTGGGGATCTTATGATGCCTGTGTGTTATCTGGTGTCTTTGAAGATGTGGTGCCTGTGCAAACGCCTTCCCGCACAGAGTGCACCTGAAGGGTTTCTCTCCCGTGTGTGTTCTCTTGTGTATTTGAAGATATGTTGACCGTGCAAACGCCTTCTCACAGAGAGTGCACTTGAAGGGTTTCTCTCCCGTGTGTGTTCTCTGGTGTAATACAAGAGGAGATGACTGTGAAAACGCCTTCCCACACACACTGCACTTGAAGGGTTTCTCTCCCGTGTGTGTTCTCTGGTGTGTTTGAAGATATGTTGACTGCGCAAATGCCTTCTCACACACAGTGCACTTGAAGGGTTTCTCTCCTGTGTGTGTTCTCTGATGATTTTTAAGAACTGATGAATGTGCAAATGCCTTGTCACACACAGTGCACTTGAAAGGTTTCTCTCCTGTGTGAGTTCTCTGGTGATGCATCAAATTTCCAGTACGATCCGTGCTGTATGCACACTGGTCGCATTGTTGTCTTTTTGTACCGAGCTGAGCTGAGTGCCTTGGCTCCATCAGACCAATTCTGCAGAGCAAGCATCAGCTGCAGACAGAAAACAAATATCCACAATATTTACGTCAGTATCAAGGCACAGAAGAATGCATATATACACAGTCACAAATGATTTACACATCTATACTTATTCATATATTCATGATAGTGAAAGAGATACCCCAATTCATCACACGGGCTCTTAAGGCACACAATGAGAGGTCAAATGGTCATAAATATGCCTGGAAGCCCTTGTATCTTCAAAATGAATGTTAACCCAAACTCCAAACACACAATTTCGGCTGTCTGGCTACACAATGAATATTTATAAAAGCAAAATTCAGGTAATATAGCAAAGGGTGTTGAATATAATACTACTTGTATTATGCAGAATGCATAAATTAATGTTCAATCGCAACTTAGAGGTGTGAAGCCAGGCTCAGATTTGCTTGAAAGCTTGGATTAACAGATCTAACATCAATTGCATATATGCTGTGTTAATTTCCTATGTATTCTTAGAAAAACGTTCCAGAGGAAAACTAAATTAACTATTGTTAAGATTTATCCTCCGTTTTCAAAAGTTATATTTTATAGCAGTTACAAACTTAACACTGTCACACGCTGGCATGGTAAAAATGTGGTGGTGTGTCCGGAACCATTCCTGGCCACCTTCATCTGCTCAGTATTAATGCTTCCTCACTTCACCATGTAATTAATTGAGGATCAATCAACATAGCAGAGGCCCACAATAAGTTCAGCTTTTACTTATCAATCGTGTTTGCTGTCAGTGATAATCAAACTCTAATTCATGAGTTCATAATGCAATGAAATAACTGCCACCGCTCCCCACATAAATACACATACATTGCACATGGATCATTAACATCTTACTTATGTCATATTTTGTCTGTGTGTGCGCACGCTTACTCTCAAACGGTGGGGTTTATGTAAAAAAGAAAATAGGCAGGTACCATGCCGTAAGTCCCGACGTGAGCAAGCGCTATCCTTTTTCCCATCCATCAAATTTAAAGTACTTTAATATGCGATTTTGTGCAGTTTTCGTTTATATATTTATTCAATAGCACGCGATCGACCATACCAACTCACACACCTTCGCTGGGGATGACGGCCCCTACCCAGTGACACGCGTTTGGTGGGGGTGAGAGGGACATTTTATTTTACGTGTAAAAAATTAAATCAAAACACACATAACACTTAAGGTTAATTCTTCACAGTGTGATGTCCTTTTCTCCCCCCTCCCCCACCCCAATGCGTGCAGTTACTACTATAGAGTCCGTAGATATTAATATTATAGCGCTTAGTATTATTGTAGCGCAGGCGTGGGGATGGTGGGAGAGCGGGGGTAGCGGCCCAGCCCCCAGCCTGCCAAGGTGTGTGTATCAGTCGATGTGTGTGCGAGTCGATGTGTGTGTGCGTGAGTTGATATGTCTGTGTGTCAGTCGATGTGTGTCTGTGTGTTAGTCAATGTGTGTGCGTGGTGTGTGTGTGTACACAACTAATATGTAACTATTCGGTTACTAAATTTTTTAAAAATAATGTGTCTAAGTCCATGTGTGCGTGTGAGTCGATGTGCCTGTCTGCGTCGAAGTGTGTGAGTCTATGTGTGTGTCAGTCAATGTGTGCGTGTGGCTACATGTGAGTGTGTAAGTCCATTTCGTTGTGTGTGTGTAGGTGCATGTGTGAGTTGATGTGTGAGTCGATGTGTGTGTGTAAGTGTAAATCTATGTGTGAGTCGATGTATGTGTGTGTATGTGTGAGTAGCTGTGTCTTTGTAAGTCGATATGTGTGTAAGTCGCTGTGCGTGTAAGTCCATGTGTGTGAGTCCATTAGTGCGTGCGAGTCGATGTGTGAGTTAGTCAATGTGTGTTAGTCAATGTGTGTGCGTGATGTGTGTGTGTAGACAACTAAGATTTTAAGATTAACTTAGTACATTTTTTTATATGTATGTGTGTGCCAAGTCCATGTGTGCGTGTAATTTGATGTGCGTGTCTGCGTCGATGTGTGTTTGTGTCAGTCAATATGTGTGTGTGTGTTAGTTGATGCGTGTGCATGGCTCCATGCGAGTGAGCAAGTCCATTTCTTCCTGTGTGTGTAGGTCCATGTGTGTGTGTGAGAGTCAATGTGTGCGTTTCAGGAAAGGGCGGTCCTGCACAGATGCCATATTTTCTGTCGGTCTGCTACAGCAGAGATATCGGTAATTCCAACAAGACCTACATCTCTGCTCTATTGACTTGGTCAAGGCCTATGAGACCATCAGTAGGCCTGGGGTCTGGGTTGTTCTTCGTGTTTTCGGAGTCCCTGACCCTCTGCTCACACTCATTAAGGGCCTTCATGATGGTGAGCGGGCCCGGGTAAAACTACGTGGCCGGGAGTCAGAGCCATTCCATGTATACCTTGGGGTGCGACAGGGACGTCCTCTGGCTCCCACATTATTTAACATCTATTTTGACCACATATTTCGTGAAGCCTTTAATAGATGTACCGGAGGAATTTCCATTTGGTACAGATATAATGGGAGGCGAAGTGGCGGTGACGTCACCACGACGCTTGTGCCAGGCGATGTGCACCTTGAGGCCACATGAAGTGTCGAACGCCCGCTGGCAGGTGACGGGGCAGACCCAGATGCCACAGGTCGACTAACTGAGACGACTGGTTGATGCACCACCTGTGTCCCCTACTGTGCCAACTTGCTGTGCTTTAGCCACCTGGCGTTGTGAGCGTCGCTTCTCCGCCCTCCGTTGTTGTTGGAGGGCGACTGCCTCCAACTGCCCAGTAGCGTCTTTCATGAGCCTCCTCCACAGAGGCCAATCTTGACACCACTGGTACCAGTCATCGGCAAGTCCACTCAGCTCCACATCCTCCTGTACCACATCACTCCATCTCTTCTCTAGCCCGTGCCATGCCCATTTAGCCCCCACGATCCGGCTGAACAAAAGCTGTTTAGGCATGCGGTGGCTGGGCATGCGGGCTACATGGCCCAGCCAATGCAGCCTTGCCTGCCGGAGGAGCTCACTGATGGGACTTTGTCCACATCTTTCAAGGATTTGTGAGCTCCTCACACAATCCAGCCTGGTTAGACCATGTAAAAAAGATTTAACTACGCATATTTGTACCATCTTATTTGACAGGTACTAGTCGATTTTACCGAGTTGCTGACATCCCCAGCTCTTAACAGTGCTGATATTTTGGTTTTGGCAGCCAACATCGGCCGTGTACCCCCTGTGAGGTTCTTCATTTGTACCTTCCCTTCTAGCCCCGCCCCCCACCCTCCCAGTCCCTGACTGCCACATTTAGATAAGCCCCTCCACCCTCCCCTTAACCAGTATTTAAGATCTTGTCTTTGGGATTTCTCTTCACATGATACAGTAAATTTAGCTGACGGTCCCACCTGAAGACGGAGACTTGTGTTGCCTCCGAAACGTCGTGATTTATTATTATTTTATTATTATTATTTTCCTACGTGACTTTACTGAAAAAAAACCTAAGAGTATGAATCCTTGCAGTCACGAAAGCTTCAAATCTAGAATCGGTAGATACTACTGTTAAGTCGGGAGAAACTACTGTTAAGTCGGTAGATACTAATGTAAAGTCGGGAGATACTACTGTAGAGTCGGTAGATACTAGTGTAGAGTCGGTAGATACTATTGTAGAGTCGGTAGATACTAATGCAAAGTCGGGAGATAGTACATTAAAGCCGGTAGATACTACTGTAGAGTCAGTAGATACTACTGTAGAGTCTGTAGATACTACTGGAGAGTCGGTGGATACTACTGTCAAGTCGGTGGATACTATTGTAGTGTCGGGAGATACTACTGTAGAGTCGGGAGATACTACTGTAGAGTCGGTAAATACTACTGTAGAGTCGGTAGATACTACTGTAGTGTTGGAAGATACTACTGTAGTGTCGGTAGATACTACTGTAAAGTTGGTAGATGCTACTGTCGAGTCAGTAGATACTGCTACAGAGTAAGCAGATACTGCTATAGTCAGGAGACACTGATATAGAGTTAGTAGTTATGACTATAGTCAGGGGATACTACTATCGAGTCAATATATATGACTATATATTCAGTAGATACTACTGTAGGGTCAGTAGTTACTACTATAGTCGGTAGATACTGCTATAATCAGCAGATACTGCTATAGAGTCTGCAGATACGACTAGAGTCAGTAGATACTGCTAGAGTTAGTAGTTACTACTATAGTCAGTGGATACTACTATCGAATCAATAGATACGACTATAGATTCAGTAGATACTACTGTAGTCGGTAGATACTGCTATAATCAGCAGATACTGCTATAATCAGTAATAATAATAGTTCAATTTGTAACGCGCGCAAATTTGCAGACGTAGTGGCCGCAACTCAGAGGCGCGGAGCCAAGCTCAAAGTCGCTCAAAAGCATAATTGTAGAGGTGAGTTTTTAAGTCTCTCTTGAAGGAGGCGATTGAGGTGATGCTGCGAATGTGCAGAGGGATATCGTTCCAGACTGTTGGGGCTGCCACCGAGAAGCGGCGCATAGACATGACCATCCTGGATCTTGGTATCGAGAGGAGGTCGTGAGTTGCGCTGCGCAGGCATCTTCCGTGTGCTGAGCTGCAAGTTGTCAATAATGAAGAAAGGTACGGCGGTTAGGCGGATATGAAGGCATTGTGGCAGAGGCAGGCGGTCTTGTATGTGACCCTACTAGCGATGGGTAGGCAGTTGAGAGCACGGAGACAAGCTAGTGAGTCGAGACGGGGATGAGTGTGTGCTATAGAGTCTGCAGATACTAATATAGAGTCTGTAGATACTGCTATAGAGTTAGAAGTTACTACTATAGTCAGTGGATACTACTACAGTCAATAGATACTATAGATTCAGCAGAAACTACTTTAGTCATTATATACTGTAGTCAGTTTTTAAAACAATAGATTTGGTTGATACTACTATAGTCAGTAGATACTACTGTATAGTTAGTAAATACTACTGCAGTCAGTAAACACTACTACGGTCAGTAGATACTACTACGGTCAGTAGATACTACTGTAGAGTCAGTAGATACTACTATATTCAGTAGATAATACTACAGTCAGTAGATTCCACTACAGTCAGTATATACTGCTGCAGAGTCAGTAGTAACGACTATAGAGTCGGTAGATGCTACTATAGATTCGGAAGATGCTACAATGGAGTCGGGAGATACGACCGTAGGGTCGGTAGATACTACTATAGTCAGCAGATACCACTATATTCAGTATATACTGCTGCACAGCCGGTAGATACACAGGTTATCAGCCCTGCAGTTTTGCCGCCAAATTCATCCACTTCTAGCTCCTTACTGTCCTCTCTGCATGTGCACGGCTCACCTCTAAACACACACTGCAATATTTATTTTAAAAATACGTACTATTTTAAATATGTACATCTACGTACCAGCACTACCGACCTCCTCCTAAACGTTATAGATGCTATACAACAGCACGTGCGTTATAATAATTATATATGTACACACCACCACACATACTATTCATACCCACTTCACGCACGACAAACAATTACACCCTCCAACAATGTACAGCTTTATACTTCGTTTATTTGTGGCTGTCTTCACATTCCTACAACGAGCACACATTCAACTATAATTTCATTAACAATCTCTACACAGCATTCACTCAGACTCACTATTTACTCTTTTTATGCTTATTAATTTCACCTATAATGTTCCTTGCGGAAAACGTGTGCTTCTCTTCACCAAAGCCGATTACAATAATTGATGCCATTCGTACAAGTGCTGTAATGGGTGCACCTAGAGCTAATGATACTCCTGAACACAAAGCGAGACAGCATGCTACCTATACTACACCTACAGCTAATTAATCTCTTGAACACCAAGAAGCAAGACAGCATGCGACCCGTGCTGCTATGCCTGCACCTACAACGAATGCAACTCCTTAACAGCAAAAAGCTACACAGAAAACTAACACAACATAAATGGCTGCTGCCACAGCTAATAAAACTCCAGTCCACCAACAAGCAAGGCAGCTTTCTAACAGCACTACAATGGCTGCACCCAGGTGCCTAACCTGCAGCCAAAAGGAAAATTCGTCTTTTCCATTCATTCCTCACTTCATTTACACTTATGATCCATTAGTTGCCATTCGTTCCATGTCTACTTCTTGCAGATACTGCCATGCAATGCATTTAAAAGGAGACCCTCCAGGGCTATGCTGCAACACTACCATGGTTCAGCTGCCTAACATTAATTACCATCCCGAGCCTTTTCATGTATTGATACCTGCCAACATTACGTAGGAAAGCCATTTCCAAAACAATATAAGATAGAACTCATGCTTCCAAATTACATGTTTTGGCACTGACCAACTCATCCCAACATCTGGCTACATGCCCAGATTGAAAGTGTAGGGCCAGATACAAAATGGCATTGGCAGTCTGCTGCGACTACCTAATGACATACCTACATTATCACACTTCTACTTGCATGTCTGACAATACCAGACAGGCTCACCAGCATTGCAAAAATGTCATCAACACCAAGATGCAAGTCCTATTTCTGTGGCAAGACATGCTCCATAAGGAAAACTCTTATGTTCACTGTTTCAAGTGCCCCATGGAGAAGATGACTTCAGAGTACAATGTTGTCATTCATGCAGACTAAACTCCACATGGTCAATATGAGTGCCACTTAAATGTACTCACATCTGAAGTATCTTTCGTTCTGACTGCTGAAAAATATGGCACTTGAGGCATCGTCTTGTAACTGAGGCACAATACCCTACACAGAATTGGAACAACGATCCTATGATGCTCTTCAATGTCCACTGCTTTTCTGGCAAGGTGATGACCAGCTACCATTCCCTACTTCGCCAAACTGACGCAGAAACAGGCTTGCCAACACAAAAGAAGATTTCTGCCATGGACTTCTTTGCCTTCAGGATCATAGTGCGAAACAACAGCTTCAATCTCTTCTTTAGATGCAAAGAGCTATATTCTTTGGGTCTTTCGGTAAAGTCACGTAGATAGGTTGAAAGAAAATAACAAAAAACTACGACGTTTCACAACACAAGCGATCGTCATCAGGAGGAGAAAAGAGGGAAGCTGCTGAGGCACTGTTTTAAAGATTTAAAATGGGTGTAACCCAAGGGTCATAAATGAAGTGGGCGGGGCTAGTGATGTTAATGTTAGAAATTAGCATGTAAATGTCAGATCGGAGAGAGGCGAACAAGACGACAGCGTGGAGGTGGCTATGTTAATATGAGAGATTAGCATGTTAATGTAAGACCCAAAGAACATGAATTCCTGCAGTCACGAAAGCTTTAAGTCAAGATGCAAAGAGCTCTTCCACCAATTTGTTGTCGACATGTATGTCACAATTGAAGCTTCATTCGATTAAAAACATCAAATGGCAAAAAATCCAACATTGTCTATCCTGAAGCTCTCCAAGTGTAACAAAACTAAAATCTGTCCTCATTATGAAACAAGCAAGCCCTGCGATTGTATAACACTACCAAAAAACCATGACCAAATACACATTTAACAAAATCATTGGCATAATTAAATTATTCCAATAAAGCCAGCATGGCAAGACATTGTTCTTAAGTTGATGACCGAGAACCGTGTGAAGCTGGGGAGCTTAACTAGTACTGAAAAAATACTATACTTCCGATACTAATGATTGTGCATGAGTGAGGAGCGGTAGTGCAATGCTTAGCGTACTGCGATATGAACCCAGCGACATGATTTATATTCCCGCTCATGCCCAACACCAATGATGAAAATCTGAATCAGCTCTGGGCCTTCCCTAGGTCAACACCACCTCAAAAAAATTAACCCGTAAAAACAAAGTTTTTCACTATAAATTCTTTATATGCGTGGCATCGGTTTCATCTTATTATTCATTTCCGTTTTTCTTGAGTAAGCAAGCAAGCAAGTGAAGTTAATATAAAGGATTTAAAAATGAAAGATCACCTCTTGACATGCCCCGTATATTCCCGAGGGCACTAGCGTTGACCCGTTTTACCACTTTCAAGAACCTGGCGGCTTCAATTTAACTGCTCTATAAATAGTCTCCATTGTACAGCGTGGGGGCAGGGATTTCATGCCATGTGGTTAGTCAACATTTGCATCATCATGAAACGGGCGGCTAGAGTCCTCTCGTCCTCTGTATTGAGATGGCTGCCACCTATGGGTCAGATGAGTGTCTGCCACCATTAAGCAATTGGTAATTAAATATAAAAAAAAAATCCCTAAACAGTGTAAAATTTTGGAAAAAAAATTTCACGAAAATTAATTGTCACGCACAACGAGTCTGTGTGCAAAATGTCAGCTCGATTGGATCACGGGAAGTGGGTTAAAAAACGACCGAAAGATTTGCATGGTCGTAAGCAAGCAAGCAAGCACGCAAGCACGCAAGCAAGTGAACTTAATATAAAGGATTTAAAAAGTACCGAGTCTGATGTGTAACCGTGTGTAAACATCGCCACTGGGGAGACAAATTCGGCAAGCATGGTGTTGGTCACACCCACCCCTTCGAGTACCATGTCGCTCTTCATAGGTGCTATGCACTAACAGCACTTTCCCCAACAATCTGTTAAGGCTAAACGGGGGGGGGGGGAGGTCAATGTCTTATCACATGAGATGCCTGCATTGCAACGGTTGAGGTGCCACTGACTGCCTCGTATTCCTCGCTCGCCATGACCCATACCACGATAAAAGCCAATGAAACAGTACTTGCGGGTAAAGTATACCGGCGAAAGGCTAAATTGGTATGCATAGAGGTTTCCCGCTAAAGGTTGAAACCACAAATGATGAACCCGCAATATTCAACCGTCTCCTCTATGACATTTGTGCATACATTTCCTGGCCTGAAACCACAATGGGGCTTTGCAAGATTCTTCTCAGCAGGTCTGGCAAGCCAATGTTGAATAATCATTATCTGACCATCAGTTGGGTCATCCTTTGATCCATGCAGCTGTATTGCAACCAGTATGAAATCACCACCCTCCCTTTGGAGGTCAATTATTGCCAGCATGAAGACACCTCTTAGACTCTGGATTTTCCTTCACACTTCCTCAACAGAGGGTTCACCAGCCAACCACTGACAGTGTGGTTACTTCCTGGAATATTTAAGGCCTAGAAAAAGCAACAAATACATACAGTTGGTCATCGATTATCCAATGCGCGATTATCCAACTTCAAAAATTATCAGCGAGATGTGCAAAACTGCTCCAAAGGCTGTAACCAGTCTGGCAATCAGCACTGTCTCCTCTCGCGTGCCACGCACGCCCTGCTAGCCACTCCGCTAGCCCCGTGTGCCCCGCACACTCTGCTAGCCACTCCGCTAGCCCCGTGTGCCCCGCACACTCTGCTAGCCACTCCGCTAGCCCCGCTCACTCTTCTCGCTTCGCACACCGCTGGCCGACGGTGTGCCAAGCCCCATCAGCCCCGTGGCTGATGGCGCGGCGGCCACCCAACGTGGTCCCGCCTCTTCACTCCATCGACTGGCCCCGATCTCTTCCGGGCTCCCCTCTATAACCTCTCTCACGTGACCCTGATTCCTCCCTTCCGGATCGTCAGATCCGCTCTTCTCATACTGCCCTGCTGGCTCCACCTCCAATACCCCGGGTCGTGTGATTGGGCTAGAGTCCAGCAGCAACCTCATTCACGCTCGCATTACACCTGGGTAAACAAGAACCACCACCACCACGATATGAACTTTTCAGCTCAGATCTGTGAGTGGCGAGCAAAGTGGTAACCAGCCCTGCATGGCTTTGCCCCACGCTGCAATGTGTTAATGATACAACCTGGACATCGATTCCACAACTATGCGACTCAATTGATATCCCTACGAAAGAAAGAAGCGAGGCTGTACCTGGGTAAACAACAACAATCACGGCCACAATGTTAACTTCTTACCTCAGGTCAGAGTCAGCAGAGATCCATGGATTCGACTTCGTGACCACTTCATGGCTCCAGCTGGTCTCGTGACATCACGCGGAGTCGCGAGCTCAGAGGCTGAATGGGGAATGAGATGAATTTATTTTATTCGTTCATTTGGTTAAGAAAAACATTAGTCCTTAAGCTTTTTATGAAAAAAATTATCTGCAGCATAACAATTGTAACATTGGAGACACATTAGCAAACTCATTCGACGAAAACAACATTTAAATCGTAAAGTGGTGAGTAACTGGTGTGGTGTGTGAACATCGCCACTGTGGAGACAAAGGTGAATCCAAGTCCCGGGCGAAGCCGGGTAGTAAAGCTAGTTCCATATATACTGCGATAAAGTAGTCAACATGTACTACTGTATTGCTAGCAGGTACCACCACAGTCACTATGCACTGCTGTCATCATAGCAGGTACCACCACTGTCGCTTGCCCTGCTCTCATCATAGCAGCTTACACCACAGTATGCATGCACTGCTGTAGGGAAAGCAGGTACCACCACACTTTGCACTGCTGTAATCATAGCAGGGACCACCACAGTCACTATGCACTGCTGTAGTGAAAGCAGGTACCAAAGTCTGTATGTACTGCAGTAGCTAAAGCAGGTACCACCACTGTATGCACTGCTGTAATCATACCAGCTACCACCAGTCAATATGCACTGCTGTCATCATAGCAGGTACCATCACAATATGTACTGCTGTAATCATAGCAGGTACCAGCACATTCAGTATGCACTGCTGTTGTTAAACCATGTACCACCACAGTATGCACTGCTATCATAGCAGCTACCACCACAATCAGTATGCACTGCTGTACCGATAGCAGGTACCACCACAGTATGCACTGCTGTATTAATAGCATGCAGCTGCAATGGCTGCTTTTGGTACACGGTCCAGACCTCCCCAGAGACCCTGGCTGACAGAGGTGTTGAGGATAGTTGAGAAAAAATTAACCCGTAAAAACTAAGTTTTTGACTATAAATTTTTTATATGCGTGGCATCGGTTTTATTTTATTATTCATTTCAGTTTTTCTTGAGTAAGAGTTTCATTTTTATCACATTGGTATTTTAAATTAAATATAAGGAAAGTCGTATATAAGGATTATAAGGTTTTCAGTTCTTGTATGATTGTTTATATTGTACATTTTTGTTGTTTTCTTTAATAATTTTCGGTGTTTAGGAAAAATATGATTGTTAGTGAAATTTTTTTTTTCCTCAAAAGTGGAACATTTTTGAATTTTTTTTCACGAAAATAAATTGTCACGCACAACGAGTCTGTGTGCAAAATGTCAGCTCGATTGGATCACGGGAAGTGGGTTAAAAAACGACCGAAAGATTTGCACGGTCGTAAGCGCGCAAGCAAGCAAGTGAACTAAATATAAAGGATTTAAAAAGCGACAGGCCCACTCTCATCGGCTACAGCATCCCACGTCAGAGAATTAGGAGGCTTACCGCAGCCTTCGCTCGGAGGTTCGGAGAGCCGTAAGGCGCTGCAAGGATGGGTGGTGGTCGCGGGTTGCTGAGAAGATGGAGTCTGCCTCAGTGGCCGCGATCACAAATCACTATTTAACTCCATAAAAAAAGTAATCTACCGCGCCACACCGATTACCATCATTAGGGGAGAAAACGGTGAACCAATCTCCGACCCCCAGGAACAGGTTTGCAGATTTGCTGAGCATTTCTGTGAGGTCCTGGGGGAGGAGAAATCCCTCAGCCAGGAAAACATCATGGCACAAAGTGGGGATGACCCTGCTGAGGCTGCGGTGCCTCAAATATTGGAAGAAGTCACTCCCTGTGAGTGGCTGGCTGAGGTGCCATCTGTTGAGGAAGTACTGAAGGCGATCCGGAGTCTGAGACCAAGAAAGGCACCGGGCAGAGATGATCTCCCAAGCGAAATGCTGAGGGAGGGTGGCGTTTGTGCACAGACTGCCCTATATGACATCATAACAGTCTGGACCACTGGACGGGTTCCGCAGGATTGGAAGGATGCCCTGGTAGTCCCCCTCTTTAAGAAGGGGGACCGCACAGACTGTAACAACTACAGGGTCATCTCACTCCTCAGTGTGCCGGGAAAGGTCCTGGCAAGAATTATTCAACATCGCCTTGCTAGGCACGCGGAGGAGAGGCTTGCGGAGCCCCAATGCGGTTTCAGGAAAGGGCAGTCCTGCACAGATGCCATATGTTCTGTCCGTCTGCTACAGCAGAGGTGTAGGGAATTCCAACAAGACCTACATCTCTGCTTTATTGACCTGGTCAAGGCCTATGATACCATCAGTAGGCCTGGGCTCTGGGTTGTTCGTGCTTTCGGAGTCCCTGAACCTCTGCTCACGATCATTAAGGACCTTCATGATGGTGAGTGGGCCCAGGTAAATCTATGTGGCCGGGAGAGCCATTCCCTGTACACCTTGGGGTGCGACAGGGATGTCCTCTGGCTCCCACATTATTTAACATTTATTTTGACCACGTAGTTCGTGAAGCCTTCAATAGCTGTACTGGGAAAATTTCGATTTTGTACAGATATAATTTGAGGCTGATGGATGCCCGGGTGCAATCAAGGGATGGCTCCCTATTGGTCAACCACGTCATGTATGCCAATGATTTGGTAATAGCTGCTCATTCAGAGGAGGAGTTGGAGACGCTGCTGCTGAGACTGGAGCGGGCCACTACGAGGTGGGGCCTTACCATCAGCCCCACCAAAACTAAGCACCTGCCTGGGTATTTTGTACCATCGGACACTCCACCCACACAACTCCTAATCTGTGATGGGGCAGTTGTGGAGAGAGTGGAGAGTTTCCCATACCTGGGCAGTGTGCTTATGACCGGCTCCAGTTTAACAGCAGAGGTCTCACTCCGAATCAGTCGAGCGGCAATAACTTTTAATCGGTTGCGTAATGCTGTGTGGAAGCTACCTGGTCTGTCGCTCCGCACGAAGCTGCAGGTCTTCTCGGCCACAGTCATTCCCTCCCTTCTCTACGCTTGCGAAACGTTAGGCTGGCCTGCCTACGATCCATCCTGGGTTTAACCAGGCTGGATTGTGTGAGCAGCTCACAAATCCTTGAAAGATCTGGGCAAAGTGCCATCGGTGAGCTCCTCCGGCAGGCAAGGCTGCGTTGGCTGGGTGATTTAGCCCGCATGCCCAGCCACCGCATGCCTAAACAGCTTTTGTTCGGCTGGATCGAGGGGGCTAAACGGGCACGGCACGGGCTAGAAAAGAGATGGAATGATGTGGTACAGGAGGACGTGGAACTGAGTGGACTTGGCAATGACTGGTACCAGCGGTGTCAAGATCGGCCTCTGTGGAGGAGGCTCGTGAAGGACGCTACTGGGCAGTTGGAGGCAGTCACCCTCCAACAACAACGGAGGGCGGAGGAGCGACGCTCACAACAACGAGCAGAGCGCCGGGTGGCTAAAGCACAGCAAGTTGGCACAGTAGGGGGCACAGATGGTGCATCAGCCAGTCATCTCGGTCACCTCAGTCAGTCGACCCGTGGCACCTGGGTCTGCCCCATGACCTCCTGCCAGCAGGCGTTCGACACTTCACGTGGCCTCAAGGTGCACATGGCCTGGCACAAGCGTCGTGGTGACATCACCACCACTTAGTGGTGAATGGCAGTTGTTTTTGTTGTGCGTGTGTTAGTCACTGTGTGTGCGTCGCTCCATGTGAGTCAGTGTAAGTCCATTTCTTTCTGTATTTTGGTCCACGTCTGTCTGTATGTACATGTGTGTGCGTAAGTCCATGTGTGTGTGTCAGTGCATGTGTGTGTGCCTCTATGTGCGTGTGAGTACATGTATGTTTGTGTGGGAGTCTGTGTGTCAGTCGATGTGTGTACGGCAATGTGTGTATGTGAGAGTCCATGTGTGTGTGTGTGCGTCGATATGTGCGTGTAAGTTCATTTGTTTGCGTCAGTCTATGTATGTGTGTGTAAGTCGATGTGTGTGCGTGGGTCCGTGTGTGTGTAAGTCCATGTTTGTGTGTTTAAGTCGATGTGTGTCTTGGTAAATCCATGTGTGTTTGTGTAGGTCAATGTGTGTGTGAGTATGTAGCATCGGACACTCCACGCGACGCTCACAACAACGAGCGGAGCGCCGGGTGGCTAAACCACAGCAAGTTGGCACAGTAGGGGACACAGGTGCTGCATCAGCCAGTCGTCTCAGTCAATCGACCTGTGGCATTTGGCTCTGCCCCGTGACCTCCTGCCAGCGGGAGTTTGACACTTCACGTGGCCTCAAGGTGCACATAGCCTGCCACAAACGTTGTGGTTACGTCACCGCCACTTAGTGGCGAATGGCGGTTGATGAGTCTATGTATGTATGTATGAGTCGATATGTAAGTCTATGTGTGTGTGTGTCCATTTGTGTGTGTAACTACATATGTGTGTCTAAAGTTGATGTCTGTGTGTGTGTCTATGTGTGTGTCTGCCTTTACCGCCCGGGCAACGCCAGGTACTTACCGCTAAATGTTGTATACAACACATGGCTGGGCTTAATTCTATTAGGAAATTAACCAACGGAATGTGCCAAACAAATTAGCGTAATGCTTGGTTGTCTGTTCAGGGAGCAGAGGCAAGCAAGTGCAAGCGAGTGCATTCGCAAGACTGGAATAGCAATTTTGGTACTCCCACCATTCCTTCCCGTATGGTGAGAGCCTCGCTGAGTCGCAAGACTCCCAACAGTAAGTTGAGATTTTATCAAATGTAATTCCAATTGAGGCATATCCAGGTCATCATTTCAGACCATGAGTATATGATTGTATTTGTGTGCGTGAGAGTGTAATGTTCGGAGTAATGGTGCAGCAGTCAACGCAGTCTGCTACTAACTGCATGGACAGTTTAATTCCCTCTCACGGTTTTTAACAATGGCAGAGAATATCTGAACCGGTCCTGTGCCTCCCTTGTATGATTACGTCGTGCAGTGTGTAAATATGGGTAATGATAGGTTGACACCAGAGGTCGCAACCGGGTACCCGATACCCGTATCCTACCCGATACCCGGGTACGGGTACCCATTTGCGACCCTGGTGCGGCCGGGTACGGGTAAGGAATCAAAACCCGTTTGCGACCTCTGGTTGACACCTGCTGGCCGGAAAAGGAATCACGGGTACGAGCACGGTGAAGTACCAACCAATCAGAGAAGGAGGTGTATCTGGGGAAAAGTTAACAGGTGGGGTTAGCCGAGATACTGCTCAAAGGTTCCACGAGAGGGTGTGGCCGGAGGCGGGGCCTAGCCACGCCTGGGGGGATATCAGGGGGAGCGGACCCGGGGGCTCGGAGCTCATGTGGGGGTCCTGGCTGCGTCGCTGTTCACCAACATCTCACTCCGTTGTCCGGCCACGTGGAAGATCTCGTGTAGTTTCCATCGCCGTCATCGTCACGCTGCCAGCCAGCGGCGTAGCCGAGTGAGGACGATGGGACCATGCCGAGTGATTGGCAATGTGTGTAGCCAGTAGAGGTGTTATTACCTAGAGTTACACTCAGTGCGAGGAAGAACAAGTGTTGGCCTGTGTTGTGCCCAGTGTGAGTAATAAAGAAGAAGAACCTTCTACACGACGTGTTGTGGGAAGTTGCTCATTACACATGCATCAAGATTATTTAGATTATTTAGCTGCGATAAATTTCAACATAAGCCACTTCATTAAGCTATCATTTGTGGTCTCAGATCGCTTCTGAAAAAGAAACATAGCTTAGTGGGTTGTTCCTGGTAAGAAAATTATCGTTCAGTTTTTTTTGGTATATCTATTTTTAAGTGGCTTGTTTACCTTTGCTATACTTTGCAATCCTATAGGTTTTTGTATTGTGTGTTATAATGTTTTGATCCGCCCCTACTGGGCATCTGTGAAAAAGAGCTTTATAGCCCGTCGGATTCTTTCAGTATAAATACATATTCTGATTCTGCTCAGCTGACAGTGGTGCTGCTGCCCAAAACAAAACATTGCGTGCTATGGCAGCATTAGTAAGTCCTGGTAAACAGCACTCAAACAAACTGTATATTTAGTGTCAGTGTACTTTGTGTTCGAGTGTGTAATGACTAGGTGTACTGTATGTGCGTGTATACTCTGGATAACGTGGGGAGTGGTAGTCTCGCGGGATGACGTCACCATCAGTCTGCGCCTCCCCCTCTCTCTGGCGATGACTCTGAAAATGCATTCCGGCACAGTGGACTTGAAGGGTTTTTCTCCTGTGTGTGTTCTCTAGTGGCTCTGAAGAACTGATGACCATGCAAATGCCTTGTCACACACAGTGCACTTGAAGGGTTCCTCTCTTGTGCGAGTTCTCTGGTGCCGTGTCAAATTTCCAGTACAATCCGTGCTGTATGCACACTGGTCGCATTGTTGCCTTTTGTACTGAGCTGTGCCGAGTGCCTTTGCTCCATCAGACCAATTCTGCAGAGGAAGCGCAGATGCAAACAGAAAAAAAATATCCACACCATTTGCGTCAGTATCGAGGCACAGAAAAATGCATATATATACAGTCACACATGACTTGCACGTCTATACTTATTCTTATTTTCATAATATAGTGAAAAAGATTCCCCAATTCATCACACGGGCTGTTAAGGCACACAATGAGAGGGCCAATGGTCATGAACATGCTTGGAAGCCCTAGTATCTCCAAAATGAATGTCAACCCAAAACTCCAAGCACACAATTTTGGCTGTCTGGCTACAAAAAGAATATTTATAAAAGCAAAATTCATCTAAAATAGCAAAAGGTGTTGAAAATAATATTTGTATTATGCAGAAATCCATAAATTAATGTTTAATCGCAACTTATAGGTGTGAAGCCAGGCTCAGATTTGCTTGAATGCGTGGATTAACAGATCTAACGTCAGCTGCATATGTGCTGTGTTAATTTCTGACTGTATCCATTCTTAGAAATAGTTCCAGAGGAAAACAAAAATAAACTATTGTTTTTATTTAACCTCCATGTTCAATAGTTAATATACTTTACTGCAAATACAAACTTTACACTGTCAGACACAGGCATGGTAAAAATGTGGTGGTGTGTCCAGAACCATGCCTGGCCACCTTCATCTGCTCAGTATTAATGCTTCCTCACTTCACCATGTAATTAATTTAAGATAAATCAACATAGCATAGGCCCACAATAAGTTCAGTTTTCACTGCTCAATCGTGTTTGCTGTCGGTGATAATCAAACTTTAATTGTTGAGTTCATAATGCAGTGAAATAATTGCACCACCGCTGCCAAGATAGATAAACTCTTACAAATAAATACATTGCACATGGATAATTAATATTTTCTATAAAAATCAGCCACAATTCATGACGAATTGGAAGTAACCTCATCAGTGCTCATGCCATGACAGGTGCAATTTAAGGCCATGTCAGTGTGGATCCCAGTAGGTCATGGGAATGATCCAGGTGTCAAGGGATGACTGACAGATGCACCAGCTGTTGCCCCCACTGTCTTGCTGGGTTTTAGGAAGCCAGTGTTCCACCCATTCATGTGAGTGTCGCTCTTCCGACCTCATTGTTGTTGCAGAGCAAATACCTCCAACTGCCCTGCAACATAGCTCACAGGCCTCCGCCAGAGGCCGATCTTGACACTCCTGGTACCAGTCATCTGCAGGTCTGATCACATCCTCCAATCTATTCTCTAGCCAATGGCATGCCTGTTTAGCCCTCATATCTTGACTAACAGAAGCTGCTTGAGCATGCGGTGTCTGGGAATGTGGGATTCATGGCCAAACCAATGCAGCCTTGCCTGGCAAAGAGACTCACTGATTATATTTAATATTGATATCTTAAGGATCTGTAAGCTTCTGATACAATATAGTCTGGTTCAATAGAGGATGGATCATAGGCAGGCCAGCCTTCATTGTATAAGCCAGCACAGACGGTCATTTAAATAAGTTAATATTGTGCAACCACAGAGAAAGGAGTAATATCTGTGGCCAAGAAAAGGTACAGCTTTGTTTGCTCATTCCTTTCTAAATCTGCTTGTCCTGGTGAGGGTCGCAGTGGCAGCACGTTGAGTAGGGCGGTCTAGGCCTCCCTTTCCCTTGCAACAGACTCGAGCTCTTCGTGGGGAATTCCCAAGCGTTACCAGGCCAGCCGAGTGACAATAGTCCTGCCAGCGTGTCCTGGGCCAGCCCCAGGGTCTTCGCCCAGTAGGAAATGCCTGGTAGAGTTCCAGGGGGAGCCCATTGAGGAGCATCCTTACATATATTCTATATTGATATCACCCCTGGAGCAAGGCCCAGGGGTTGTGTTCGCCAACAAGCGCCTTGTGGCCGGGTGACTCACGTAACCTGGTCGGGCCCAGCCTGAAATATCTACGTGGTACTATCCTGTTTACCTGCCATCCGCAGGACGAAGGGTGAGGGGCGGGTGCGATGCCAGTATGGCAGGGAGAGGGATGGCCCCATTTCATGATGGAATAATCCATAACAAGATTCCTTAACTCCATCTCATTGAGTAGCCATTACCAGATCATCCTCAGATGCAACAGGGTTGACCAGCAGGGAACAATCCCTTAACTATAACCAGGCATAGATAATTCTAGATTTGAAGCTTTCGTGACTGCAAGGATTCATATTCTTAGATTTTTTTCGGTAAAGTCACGTAGGTAAAACATCAAAATTAATAAAAATAAATAAAATTAAACAAAAATCACGACGTTTCGGAGGCAACACAAGTCTCCGTCATCAGGTGGGACACGTCACAGCCGGATTAGCTGCATCACTTGATGCTAATCCGGCTGTGACGTGTCCCACCTGATGACGGAGACTTGTGTTGCCTCCGAAACGTCGTGATTTTTGTTTTATTTTATTTATTTTTTATTAATTTTGATGTTTTACCTACGTGACTTTACCGAAAAAACCTAAGAATAGGCATAGATAAGCGTATTATTGTAACCGCAATGAAAGCAATTACTTGTTATGCCCATTGTGAGCTTCTCCAACTACATCATTATTGGAGATCCTATGTAATGTAATGCATGGGACCAGAGTGAATTTTTGTCACAAGCCGAGTTGAACAGGAAATGGCTCCAACTCCTGGTCACGCAGCTTTAGACAGGCCTGCCCAAAATCATAAAAAGCCTCAACGAATGTGAGCAGAGGCAGAGACATTGAAAACTAAGAACCCAAAGCCCCAAGCCTCTTTATGGTACTATAGGCCTTAATTACATCAAGAAAGCAGAGATCTCGTTTCTGGTAAAATTTCCATACGTCTCTGCTGTACTCGATTGACAGAAAATACAGCCGCCCCTTAATTGTCAGAGGTTACGTTCTTGGAAAGTGCCGCGCGACAGCTAAAAGAGCGATATTCAATACTTAAGCTTTACCCAAGTAATGGCGTTAGGTACATCACAATTGAAATAAGAACTGTACTGTATTCCAAATAAACTGAAAACGAAACAATTTAAGTAAACATTGGGACACCGTATACAAAAAATATTCTGAGACAAAAAATAGGACACATCTATATAAATAAAGCAGACTTTGCACGCGTATACGTTATTTTGGGAACCAAATTGTGCCAACACCATGAAACCTACACCTTACAAGCTTTCCATGCGTACTTACTGGTGAGTTAGTGTTTTTCGCTCTATTTTTATCTTACCTGCTCACCTTCAACACCTGTAACACCTGCACACTTCAACCCCCCACCGAAGCGTCCAACTCCCCCCCGCTCCTCAACCCCCCCCCCCCTCTCTTTCTCTTGCCATGTGTTAAAGTACTTGTGTTGCGATCGAAACTTCATAGTTTTTTGTTATTTTTTGTAATTTTCTTTGGTGGAAAACCAACCACCGTCAGTTTGGCTGCCCACAACTTGCATTATCATTGGCTGCTGACATTTGGGCTATGCCCATTTCAAATCAAGATTACTATTAATGGTTGATTACTGAGACCTGTGGGAGCCGGGTAACTTAGCTAGTATTGAATAAATACAATACTTCCGACAATATTTGTGCTTGAGTGGGGAGTGGTAGTGCAACGGTTAGCGTGCTGAGCTATAAACCCAGCGAGCCGATTTCTATTCCTACAGAGCCAAGCCACAACATTTGGCTGTCGCCTGATGAAGCTGGTTGTAATTACTGGCAAAACGTCATACTCAGATTGTAAATGTTGTGGCTTGGCTCTCCAACACACAACCAGTGTACTGTACTTTTGACGAATTGGCCACGTTCTGTTTACGTGACAACCCTTACTAATTGGCTGTGTCAAGTGTTGGCGGGTTTAACGACACCTTCATATATATT